TCCTTCTCGCGCTCCTCGCGCTCCCGCTGGCCTGGGACAAAAAACGCGCTGAAGCACAGGCTCGCTGCAGGCCACACTCCCTAGTGCCCGACGCTCGCGCTCACGCTCGATTTCCTCCTGAAGCAGAAAGTCCTGCACGGATCAGCCAACACTCAGCTCTCTCTGTGAATGGAAGAGGGGAGATCGGAGAGGGGCTGCTTGCAGAATTCGTCTCACACCTTTCTGCGCGTAAGAAGCCATGAGAGCGATGAGCCCCCCAAGCTGCAGGTGGTCTGTTCCAGAGCACCTGCAAACCTTGCCTTAACAGGCGTCCTAGAGGGCCTCACTCAGGCCCATGCTCTGATTCTCCTGCTTCATTTGCCTCGCGGCCGCCCGCTGCTGCTGTCTCTCTTTGGTCACCACGATCCGCTTCACCCGCCGAGCATTCCAATCTCTCACTTCCTCCCAGCAGTCCCAGACCACTTCGCCGGACTGCGGGATATAGACCTGCCCCTTGCGTCCTCCACGACTCGCCTCTTTATGATTTCCAGTCGTCGCTCTTGTGAAGGTCTGGTCCGAATGAACGGGTTGGGCCACGAACAACGGAGCCTCTGCGAGCAGGGTTGGAAGCTCTCATGTTCTGTGATATACAGCCTATCAAGTCTTTATGGCTGGGCCCTGCTTAGAATCGCCTCCCACTTTGCTTTTGCTGGCAGCCAGGCCACGACACGCTCTTCCTTGAAGATCACGCGCGCTCCGCCGACGACCTTGATGCCGTCATTCTCCCGGTGGGTCCAGAGCATGTGGTTGGGTGGTGGGACCAGATTGGCGACTTGAGGCGCCACGGGCTTGTGGTGGTTCCGGTGGCCACCCACTTGCCGTGGGGGAGCCGCCCATGTTGCAACGGTTGCAGGGTGCGGCCGAACCTCTGCATCGGGGTCGACCACGCCGCAGACCAACATGTCCTTGGTGTCCGCAAAGCCTCGTGAAAGCCAGGAGTTGCCCGGCATGGCCGTGTAGATACCAACTCCATGGGCTGAGCCATTGGCCACGCGGACGCCGCTCTCATTGGAGGGCACGCGCAGTCCCTGCTGGAGTATCGAAGGGATGTTTGCCGCTCGGGTGCCGTGGTATCCGAAATCTGGAGAGCCATGCGTCTCACACTCCTGCAAGAACTTCTCCTTCACGGCTGGTGCCACATCAGCAGGAACGAGCTTGTAGTCTTTGCCCAGCTCTTGCTCTAGCACTGGCCCATGAACTTCCAGAAACTGCTCTCGCATCGCCTCGAATCGGTCGGGCTTCGCTGCCCGCTTCGACGGTCTCTTCTTGGCAGCCTCCTCTTGCTCCCACTGCTCCCACTCCTCCTGCGCCTCGGTCTCGGCTGCGGCCACCGCCAAAGCCTTCACCTTCACCTCGGCCTGCGACGGGATGCGCTGGCGCAGGAGCGCGTCGTCCACGCGCCAGCGCTCCTTGGGCGGCGTGCACCACCGGGCCGGCAAGTCCTTGTCCTTTCGCTGGACCTTGGGCTCCGTCACATCTGCGAAAGCGGGCACATTCCCGTGCGCGGAAGCCTCCCTTTCGTCCCAGATATCTGTCTCCGTCCGCCCAATGCCAGTGCTCACCGTGCGTTGACCATGCTGCACGCGAAATACTAGGGCGGACACCTGGACGGCGGGAATGGTTACAGGGACACTCACGGCTTTGCCAAGCCTTTTCGTTGCAAAGCTTGCTGTCGGAGGCCCGTGGCCGTGGTGCTCCGACTCAATCTGCCGCACCACTATGGGCCCCCCACGCTGCAGCTGGGCACGCTGAGAGGGTGATAGGCCGAGTGCCGTCGCCAGGTCGTCTGCGTTCTCAACCAACTCAGAGAGGCTGCAAGCACCCTGCTCCTGGGCCCAGCGCTTCGCTGAGAGAGCATAGGCCTCCAAGCCCAAAGCCTGCAAGAACTGGGACAGGCCTGGAACTGGACCCTGGTGACCCTGGTGACCCTGATCCATCTCGGGGCCCACGGTGCTGTACCGGGTCAGCACTGGCGGGGAAGGTGCCGTGCGCAGCAGGCGCAGGCCTTGCCTCACCTGGCATTGGCAAGGCTGCGACGGCTGTGATGGCAGCGATTGCTGCGGCTGGTATGGCGGGGCAGACGCATAGAAAACAAGGGGCCCCTTGCATGGGCCGCCACCCCTTGAGGGTGGCTGGAAAAGCATCCTGGGCTGCCCGCTGTCGTGGCAGAAGACTAGACCTCGAGCTCTCGCAATGAGCATAAGCTGAGCCAGGCACTTGGGAATCGTAGTCATCATAACAAGAACCACGACAAACCGGCATGTGCGTGCCGTTACACCATGCTGGAGGTTCAACCCGGTGTCTGGGTCCTTTCGTCGCTTCGAGGCCTCCTCCGCCTCGAGCAGTGGCAGTGCTGCCAGCGACAACGGCGACAACTACCAGTACAAAGCAAGCAAGCATATCATGTTTTCCCTCCTCGCAAATACAAGCCCCTCAGAACTCTGTACCCCTCAGGGATGCC